TTTTTTAAAACAAATAAGCCAGGGAGATGGTTAGCAAATAGATTAAGGAAAGAGAAGGAGAATACAATAATACAAAAACTGAAAGATGAAACAGGGACTGAGAAATTTAAGCAAGAAGAAATAAAAAAGACTGTTGATGACTTCTACCGAAATGTATACAATAAAAAGGAAGCAGGCAAGGAATCTCAGAAAGAATATGTACTGAAATACAATAAAATGAAACTGACTAAAGATCAAATGCAGTCTTTAAATGAGCCTTTAACATATGCAGAAATTATAAGTAAAGGTAAAGGTTCCCCTTGACATTTAGCCAGTCGTGTCTGACTCAAGGGAGCAGTGCTCATCCCTGTTTCCAAGCCGTAGGGCCAGCGTTTGTTCGAAGACAGTTTCCGTTGTCACGTGGCCAGTGCGACTTAGGCATGGAACACTGTTACCTTTCCACCAAGGTGGTACCTATTTATCTACTCGCATTTGCATGTTTTCGAACCGCTAGGCTGGTGGGAGCTGGGACAAGCGACAGGCCACATCATCTCTTCAAGCCCACCACTTACAGCTTTAAAAATATGACAATGTAGGAAGCAGCACTAAATACCACACTCTAAGCTTGTTGACAGCAGTGGTATTTTAAAGCGTGAACAGACATTCTCAGAGGCTGTATGTGTACCCAAAAGCAATGAGCAACCACTCTACCAAAGAAAAAGAAAGAAAGAAAGAAAGAAAAAAAGAAATAAAGAAAGAAAGAAAGAAGAGGGGAGGGGAGATCACTGCAAGCACATCAATTGGGTATTAAAGGCACTACCTGTTCAGGGGCCATGTACAACCTTGTTCCCTTCTCTTGAGTCCTCTCTGCTGAAAGGTCATCAACTCCAGTTGTTACCAATCCAAAATCACCTATTTTTATTTTATCATCTTTTGATATGAATATATTTAAAGGCTGTAAAAGCAAATACAAAAGGAAAATCAACTTTACATTCAGGCATACAAACCACTACAGCTTTTCTGAGGCAACCCAAACCGGCTCAACAGTACAGTTAACTAGAATATGGTTATCCCACTCTTCTGAACTCCAAACAGCGTTCTGAACCATCAATAGGTGGACCCCTCCCGGCCCCATAAAGCCACCGGAGTCGAAGCTGGCAGCCTCTGCTGTTTGAGATCGCAGCTGCCGGTAAGCGCACTTGGAGCGGGTCTGTGGAGGAAGGCTAGGGCTGCCCCCCCAATGCGGCCCAAACCAAATTTATATGTGGCCCAAACCAAATTTTCATCTTCTAATGTGGCCCAGGGAAGGTGAAAGGTTGGACACCCCTGCTCTAAAACATCACAAAACTAGCAATATCAGGCTACAATAAATCCATTCACCATGGCAAATCTGGGCCACTCTATAGTAAGTGCCCCATATGGAAAAAAAAGGTGAGCCAAAAACTATAGCTGCCTAAGCAGACATGTCTTTCAAGATCTACTCATAAGACTGCCTAATACAAAATGACAGGGCAATAATTCCGATAAAGGTGAAGAAGTCATGTTTTAAAGTGCAAAGGACCTTGGTGTCTAATTACAATTTTTAATATTTTGTAGAACTGTAGGCTGAAATCCTATTGATTAGCATAGTAAGCTACACTATAATGTAGATTTGTTAAGTCAATTCCTCTGTAAGTTCCACTGATTCAAAACTGGCCTACTCCAGTTGTGACTTATTGTGCTAAACAAGGAGATTTCAGCCATAGAGTTGTAGGGCTGAAAGGGACTGCAGGGGGTATCAAATTCACCCCCCCCCCAAACAAAACAGGAAATTCACAAATATAGCATCTCTGACAAGTGCATATCTAACCTCTGTTTAAAAATCTCTGTTGAAGGAGAGTCAAACATCCCCCAACACAGTCCATTCCATTACTGAACAGTTCCTGCTGTCAGGAAGTCCTTTCTAAAGTTTAGGCAAAATGTACCTTATAATTTGCATCCATTACTTCAGGTCCTGCCCTGTAAAGCTCTATCTTCCTCCTGACTGCCCTTCAACTACTTGAAGATAGGTATGGTTATCACTTCTGTTTTCTTCTCTAGGCTTCCAGGTTAAATATACCCAGATCTATCAACAACTCCTTCTAGGGCTTCATCTTCAAATGTCTAACCATCTTGGTCACCCTGTTCTGGATACATTCCAATTTGCTGATACCCTTCTTAAACTGTAGTACACAGAACTAGACACAATACTCCAGGTGAGGCATGACTGAAGCCAAATAGAGTGCTACTATTACTTTCCTTGAGCTGGATGCTAAATTCTATTGATGCAAATTAGTACTGCGGTTGTTGGGAGAGGGAGTTGCTACCACATCACACTGTTGACTCTTGTTTAGTTTGTGACCTACAAAGATTCCTGGATCCTTCTCACATGTACTATTGCCAAATCAGCTGCCAAGCATCTTATATCTATGCATCTGTTTGTCTGTTTTCTAGGCCTATAGAACTTTACATTTTTTTCTTCTTGAAACTCATTTTGTTTTGTCCAATTTCTCCTATCAGTTCAGATAATCTTGACTCCTGATTGTGTCTCCTGAAGTAGTAGATACTTGTCATGAGTTCAGCCGAAGATCAGGAATCTAAGGGGTTAATTATAGCTGCACAGACAGCTGAATCACCACCAGATTCTCCTCCCCCAGTAGCCAGGGTGAGGGCTAAGCTTCAGCAAAGACTCATGATGCGAAGGTCAGAGGATCTCATGAATGCTTCCCATAGGAACATCAGGTCAATCAGCCCTGAGTTTTAGCAGGATGAAGTGTTTAGATGACCACTGCTGCTATAAAATCTGCATCCAGAGGCTTGGAAGTTTGTGGAAGCAACAAATCAACACTCTGGCTCGCGTCCACGCTCCTGCTTATCTTGGACCTTGTTCTCTGAACCCTTGGCTTTGGACTCTGACTATGGTTTGTGTTTTGGCTTTGGCATTTTGATATCTGCTTTGCATCTTCTGGACTTCTGATACTGGACTGGTTTATTGGACTTTTGCCTGTTGAAACCCCCTGGGAACAGTTCGGTTTTTGATAGGCATTTCTGTGTCCTCATCCAAGTCATTTATAAAAATACTGAACCACAAGTGGGCCCAGAAGAGAACATTGTTGGATCCCAGTTGTCACTTCTCTCTAGCATAATGAGGAACCACTGGTGATCATTCTTTGGGTTTACTTTGCATTATTGAAATTTCAGTAGTGAATTGCTGCTAGTTAAAGTCAAACTATGCACTTTCTCTTGTGCAGAGGCATGTGATTGCAAAGCAACAGGAAGGTACTGTATTTTTCCATGTATAAGATGATACTTTTGTCTAAAATCTTTAGACTAAAAATTGAGTGCTGTCTTGTACACGGAGTAAACTGAGAACAAAAACAAGTGGAGAGGGAAAGAGATCAAAGCAATCCTGCAGTGCTTTGATCCCTGCTTTCCCCCTCCATTTGCTAAGCCCCATCTTTCCAGCTTTCCCCTTTACTACGAGGCTTAGCAAATGGAGGGGAAAACAAAGATCAAAGGAATCCATTCCCCCCCCCCCATGCAGCTGCAGGATCGCTTTTGCTCTGATCCCTTTTCCCTCCACCTGCTAAGCCCCCACTTAGATTTCTTAATTTTGGGTTAGAAAAGTGGGGGCGAGGCTTCTACATGGGGCAACTTATACACGGAAAAATACAGCAATTCATTGCTGAGATTTATTCCCAACCAATTAAGTAATAAAATTTTGGGCCTGTCATTCAGAACCGAAACTGTAACTGCTTCATCCATGTACCTTGAGATCTCTATGAATGAAGTTGTTTCTATGAATGAATTCCACTCCATTTACTATTTGATGGAATTTCATCAGGACTTCATCATTACTGCTTGCTTTCCTTCTTTCCTGACGAATCCAATTAGCTAATGTTCCTTTTTCACAATAGTCCATACGTATAAAAAGGCAATAAAATTTTGCTTGCTGGCAGCTGTGAAAATAAAAATTTAAATTACAGTATTAAAACAAGAACCACCCAATTCGTTCATGGGAATCAATGCTGGGTCCAGCCATTTGACAAATTTAACAGAATATGAGTTCCACTGTAGTCAAGATAATACAGCTCTCA